ATCACGGGAGAGAGAGAGAGAGAGCCTGGCGACCAGATGCGCAAGGGGGAAGGTGCGGAACAAAGAAGAATGAAGGGGAGGGAGGAAGGGCAGGGGGGGGGGGCTTGGGGAGGGGGAGGCCAGGCGAATGGCGAGGGGTGAGAGTAACCATCGTCTATAGCGGGGAGTTGGGATCATTAAGAGCCGGGACGGGTGTGGGCCTTGGGAAACATGAACGGCTGCGAAAGAGCAACCCCGAGAGAGGGAGGCAGCCTGGAGACCGAGACAAGTGAGGCCCCCCCCCCCCGCCCCCCGCCCCCCGCCCCCCTCCTGGAGAGTGGCGCGCCCAAGCTCCCCGCTTGGCCTCTCCCAGGCCAAGGGAGAGAGAGAGAGAGAGTGAGCTTTCTCGCCGCCTCGCCGCCCCCCTGGCAGGCCACCCGAGGCGCAGGCCCGTTCCCGCACAGGCCGCGACCATCAGCGGTCCCACCGCAGAATGCTGCCCGACGTGGTTGAAAAAGGCAGAATGCCGCCCAAAATGCGTCAGTTGGTATCTCGAATCGCCCGGAAGACCAAGTGCGGGGCCAGCACACCACGGTCTCGAGCGCGCGACGGCCTCCATCCTCCCCTGCATACACCAGCAACACGCGCCACCCAGGTGGGGGCATCACCCACGTTAGCAGGCTCGAGTGGAGCTGCTAGCGGAGACGTCCCGGGGGGGAGGGGGGGGGGGAAACGCGGGCACGAGTGACTGGACTGAAACGCCACACACCTGCGATCGCCCCCCTCCCCCCCCCCCCCCCGGGAGGGGGCAGAGGCGGTCAGTGTGCGGCTGCGGCGCCGGGGTCCGGTCTCAGGCAGGCGGACAGAGAGTGACTGGGCTTCTCGACGGCTCGGCTCCGGCCTGCCTCCCCCAACCCGTGGCCCAGGCCAGGGGCAGGGCGGCCGGGGGCTTCCCAAGACCCGCTGACATGCCAACCGAACCCCGGGCTGCGGGTTTCCTCGGCTCGCAGTCTCGAGCCTGCCCGTTGAACCGGCGACGCCCGGCGAGAAGGGACGCCCCGCTCGCCCCCGGCACAGAGGGGGGAATCCATGCCAGGGGGACCCGGGGCGACATGCCCTTTTATCCGCATGCAACGCGCGGGGCACAATTCAGGGATGTGCAGCAGGCAGGCCCGCTCGGCCGCACGGCCCGGGGGAACATGCACCCCGGCGCCCCGCTCTCACGACCAACCTCCACCCGATAATCGGCACACTCCGGAAGAGCATGCTAGAGTGCTTGTCCCGTCTGCGGATTGCAGCAGGCAAAGCGCGTGCGAGAGGAAGGCTCGCCAAGAGAGAAAGAGAGAGAGAGAGAGAGAAAGAAAAGAAAAGGCGAGGACAGAGCCCGCCGAAGGCCACCTCCGGCAACGCGGGAGTTGGAGGGACGGGAAAGTGCGGGAAACCGGGACATTTTATCATGTGGCATCCGCGTGCCGAGTCACAGGTGTGGGGCCTGATTCGATTCCGGACTCCCGGCCGCCCGCACGCCCTCGGAAGGAGGCCGCAGACCAGTCCTCGTTTCGGTGCATCCTCCGGGCCTGCTCTTTTTGGGCCAGCCACACATGTTGGGCCTTTCCGCGGTGGGGAGAGATCTCACCAATCAGCCTCTCCCATTTTCACCCTATCCCCCGCCCTCCCCCTTTTTTCCTTCAGCCTCGGCTGCCCCTTTCCTCCCTTGCCCAGATACCCCATGTCCACCCCCGCCACCCCTCTGAAGGTCATCGGCTCTCCAGCCCGGCGCCAGGTCGCTCGCATCGGCACCGCTGTTGGCTCCTGCGGCGCCACGGTGCGTACCCTCTCCACCGTCCGGCCCTGTGGCACCTGCGCCACTTGTGCCTGCCCTGACCTCTGACCCACTCGCGCCCGTCATATTTCCCTCGCTCCTGATTGCCCCGCCCCCCTTGGTCACCCGCCCCTCCCTCTCCTCCTCTTCCGCTTCGCCATTTGCCGCCCTGGTTTGTCCCTCGCTTGTGATGGCACTCCCTCTGACGGCCCTGATCCATCGATCCTCACATTCAAAGGCTGCTGCCTACGGCTCGTGCATCAGCCAGAACGCCACCCAGATCCACGGCAAGGGGCACTGCCAGAAGGAGTTCGAACTCTTCCGCGAGTGCGTGCGCAAGGTACGTCGATCATGCTCGCCCAGTTCTCCCGGGAGGGGGTACCTTGGAGAATGCTCGCTCCCCCCCCCCCCCCCTCCCCTCCCCTCCCCCCGGCTCCCATCGGCCACTTCTTCCTTTTCATCCCCGCTTCGACTTTCCCTGCTCCATGCCTGACCCGCCCCACCTCCTCCCGAAGAGCCTGGTCTCCCGCTCATGAGGTGCCTTCCCTGACGATTTCCCATCCATCAAAAGGAAAAGAAAGAAAATCATCCCAAATACAGACAAATATTCCCCCCACATGTGAGTGCATTTCGCCTCCCGGCAAGACATCTGAAGCGAAGGCGAAGGGGAAGGCTGTTCCATTACCATGCTACTGAGGGATGTGTGCCAATTCCTCGAAAAAGATCTGTGCGAGGACACCTCGCGGAGGGGGCGGCAGCTCTTTCGGCGCTGAGACCGCCTCCCTCCCGGGGCTGTGTTGAAGGGTGACAATGTCGCCCAGAACTCGGAGGGCGGTCTGACATACAGTACTGTGTGCGATCAGAGGGAGGCATGCGGACAGGTGAGTGTCTGGGAACAAGTGAATAAGTGTCATTTGACACAGGGAGAGGGAGAGAGAGAGAGAGAGAGACCGTAAAAGAGCCGAAGAGAATACCGAACCACATACCTGGTGGTTGCCGAAAACAAGTACCCCTCAGCCTCCATGGCTCCAGCCAGCTCCGACTGATGACCATGCATGAGGGTGGGATTGGGCACCGTGATGACGCGCGGGCGCCGCGGATGACGTAGGACCTCGAAAATGGTACCAGCACCTTTCGATGAGAGTGGGTGGACAGCCTGTGAGTGTCACGGACACAAGAGAGGGATGCGAGCAGCGAGCACAGGCTGCTCGCCAGCCGTCGGTGGTGAAACATACCGGCATGGCAAATCACCAAATCCGCGCTGTCATACGATTCGGTCAAGGAAGGCAGATAGTCGACCACCTGGATGGCCAGAGCCCGGCCATTGTGGACGACAGTCGTTGATAGGGGAAGGACCGGATCGCCGGGCCAGCTGTGGAGGGTCACCAGGGGGCCCAGTTAGGAAACGGAAACCGACAATGAGCGGCACAAAAAAAGAGGAAGGAGCGAGAGGGGAGGGAGAGGGAAATGGAGAAGAGAAAGGCATGCACGCAAGACTCACGGGCTGACGCCTGCCTGGACACAGAGGGCTTGCACACCGAGGTCGATCAGCGAAATGTGGAAGGCCGGGTCGGAGATCGCCTGGATCAACATGTCGAATCTGGTCGTGCCAACCGTCACGAAAACGCTCAATGCCTTGGTCATGGTAGTGTCCCGGGACAGGGGGCAGGGGCTGTGAAAATTTTTGGCCCAAGCGAGGAGGCGAAAGGAGCGGCGGGGGCGGGTACGGCGGAGGGGGCGGGTACGGCGGAGGGGCGGAGGGGACAGATGCAGGAGTGGCCAGCGGCCCGAGATCGCCGGTATCTCGCCCTCCTGCCTGATCTGCGGGGTCTTCGGGGGGACGACCGGAGCCAGATGTGCCAACGGAACCGGGCGCATCGCCCTCCGGAAGATGACGGTCTGCCGGGAGAAAGGGGGGCCAAAAAGCAGGAGGACCAGCAAGGCAGTGCCGTGGGACAGGCAAGACGACTCGGCGGGCCGTGTGCTGTTGCTGCTGCCGCTGCTGCTACCTCGGAGCATGGCGGCCGGGACGAGCATCCCCATGCACCCGTGCACCATCCGAACGCCGCTCCCGGGATCCTGCGCCTGGGTCTATTGGCTCTTGAAATACGACGCCCAACCACAGCCCAGGGGAGAAGAAGCAAGGAAACCCAACACACAAACACACAAGACAGCCGACTGGATCAGAGGGGGTGTAATGATACAATTCGGGCAGAGCGGTTGCAAGAGGGAGTGAGGAAGGTATATGTCCGTCGGTGCTCACATGTTCCATCAGCGGGGCGGCCCTCTCCCGCCCCAGGATGAAAAGCAACGCAGAGGGAGAGAGGGAGAGAGAGAGAGGGAGAGAACGTGTGCATAAGCACACGAATGCGCCTAAGCACTTAAGAGCTGGCCGAGGCGTTGTTGGAGTTGCGCTCAAGAGCCACGGTAAGAAGCTGTAATTGAGAAGGGCCGGGCGAGATGGATAATGACACCGGGATGGGGGGGGATCCCATGCGCAAGTTGGTCGCGTTAGAGGACTGGACCGGTGGCAGGAGGATGTGTATATGGGCGTGTGGGCGTGGGCGTGGAGGCGCATGTGGCTTGGCGACTACCACCAGCGGAAGGGCCGAAAGGGACACCGGGAGAAGCAAAAAGGGGAACCGTGAAATACGTACGTTCATGTCAGCACGGATGCTCGCGGCCAGGCGAGCGAGACGCTCGTTACCGTCAAGGATCTCCACAGACTGGGTGAGAGGGTTGTAGCGGACGCTGAAGGGGCGAGAAGACTCGGCGGCAAACCGGCTGCAAGGGCACACGAAGCGCAGGGAGTGGGGGGGGGGGATTAGCCAGCGGCACATGAAACCCGATGACAGCATGCTGGCAATCAGGGCGGCAGGGGGAACAACAGAGAGGCGAAGCGGGGAGAAGGAGGCCAACGAATGCAGGGCCGGAAGGAAGGATGGATGAAACATACCGAATGCGCTCCTTGGCATCGGCGAAGCTGTCGGTGACAAAGTAGATCGGCTGGTACTCGGTGATGGGGTACTTGGTGCGAGCAGCAACGGCCGGGTCGAACGGGCGGTGCGAGTCGAATGCCTTGACGGAGTGCTGCAAAAAAGAAGAGGGAGAAAGGGTGAGTGGGAGAGAAAGGAAGAGAGAGAGAGAAAGGAAGGAAGGAAGAGAGAACGAGAGAAAGAGAAAGAGAAAGAGAAAGAGAGAGAGAGAGAGAAAGAGAGAGAGAGAGAGAGAGAGAGAGAGAGAGAGAGCGAGAGCGGGGCGGGAAGCGCCCAGACACAAGGGCAGCCGACGCGCACCTCGAGCTCGCCGAAGGAGGACAGGAGGCCGGCACCGTAGGCACGGATCTCGCCGTTCTGCTTGCAGAGACCAAACTCCACGGTGAACCAGTAGACCTAAAGAAATGCGGCGGGAAGGCATTCGGGAAGGGGCAGCGAGGGGGGAGAGAGATGGACGAAAAGACAGACACGGCGAACAGGGGGGGGGGGGGAGGCAACCATCAGTACGCGAAGGGGGGACATGAGGAGAGGGCAAAAGATAAAAGGAGGGGGGGGGGACGGCCAACGCACCGTAGCAAGGAGCTCAATCATCTCGTCACTGGCACCGAGCGAAGCCAGACCGAACTCCTGGGACATGTCGGCGAAGTCCGGATCGGCGAAGAGGGGCACATGGCCGAGGAGCTCGTGGCACAGGTCCGGCTCGGGGGTGTACAGCGGCACCGAGTGGTGGCGCACATACTGCGTCGAGTGGAAGACACGGAAGGCCAGGCCGTTGAGGAAGTCGCGGGCCGAGAGAAGCCCGGTCACCGGGCGCAGGGTAAACCCGGTGCAGTCGCGCAGGAAGCGCGAGATGTCCTCAAGCTGGGGGATGTTGTCCGGGCCGTAGCCGCAGTTCTGCTCCAGCAGGGGGAAGATGTAGCGATGCTCGCGGCACGCATGAGTCGGGTACAGCTGGGTCAGGTTGTTGTAGACCGCGCGCCAGGTGGCGCGCTCGGAGTCGGTGTACTCGATGCGCGGGATGGGCTGGCCGTGGCGGTAGGTGCGCGCGATGCGGGTGATCTCCTCGCGCCGGGCCCGGTACACCGGGTCGGTGAAGCCGGGGTGGTCGGCAGCCAGCTCCTCGCCATAGCTCAGGGTCTTGGCGGCGAAGGAGTCCAAGTCGGCGATCTTGCGCGGGAACCAGGGGACCGGGTCGCGCTCGGCCACCACGCGGACCTGGTTCACCAGCGGCTCGATGGACTTGACCGCGGCGGCAGTGATGCCGGGGTTGGCCGCATCGAAGTCCACGAAGAAGTCATAGTCAAAGTCCGTCGACAGGGAAGGACGCGACTCGATGCGCGTCAGGGAGAGGTTCGGCGAGCTGCCGCGCAGGGCGGTCAGCACACGCTCCAAAACCCCGGGCGAGTCGCTGACACTGAAGAGGAGGGTGGTCTTGCGGGGGGTGGAAACCTTGGCCTCGGCGGGGGTCTCGGTGGCTGGCACATCGACCGACAGCTGGGCGTCGGCCAGCTTGTTGGCAATGGAGTCGGTCACATCGACGGCGGCGGCCATGGTCATGGTGGGCGGCGGGTGCGAGAGGATGGGGTGGGGTGGGAAGAGAGGGGGGAAGACGGGGGGGGGGAGGAGGGGAGGTGGGAAGGGGCAGAGGAGATGTGATGGTGATGTGGCGAGGTGAATGCACTAGGGGAGCTATGGACACCCGGCTCGAGGCTCGGGCGGGCTCGGGGCAGGACCACAAAAACCATTCTTACGGCTGGGGGGGGGGGGGCGCCCACGGCCGCGGGCGTTCAGCCCCCACACCTAGACCCCCCTCCGCCCGGGTCTCCGCCCTCCCCGGACGGACTAGGATGAGGCATTCGCCCAGGGTGAGTCACGCTGTCCAGGGGGAACGGACGGACGCGTGTCGGGGGGACCATTGAGCGCGGGTCACAAGCTGCCTCGCGTGTGTGTGTGTGGGGGGGGGGTCTGCGCGTCGTGTGCGGCTTCCTGGGCCAGGTCTGCCGGTGTCACCTCGTACATGATGTTCATGTACGTGGGCGTGGGCGGGTGTGCAGGCGCGTGCCAGGGGCCTGTGGACATTCTCGAGGATGCCAACTCCACAGCAGGAAGGCTTCGGGGACACCAAGGGTGGCAACAGGCAGAATGTGCAACCCCCCGCCTCCCCCCGCCCCCCCCCCTCCCCCTGGCGCTTGGCGTCGCGCGGGGCACCGCACTCTCGGCGTCAACACAAACGCACTGTCCAAGCCGCGGAAACCCGCACGCCCGCGCATGCTGTCGGCTCGGGCGGATCTATTCCAGCGGGTCGGATGGCCACTGCGGTGGGACCCCATACCGACGAGGGGGTGTGCGACAAAATGGCCTGCGCACACACATGCCCGCATGTGTGTGTGTGGGGTGTGCACGCATATGTGAGCCGACACACAAGCCGCCCCCTCGCGCAAATGACGCCAGAGTCGCTCGATGTGCTTGTTGGCCCCCGGGTGAGGGGGGCGGGGGGGTAAGCTGGAAAAAACAACAACACGCCACTCGGCTCGCGGCGTCCCCCGGCCCAGATGACTGGGGCACGGGAGCCAGCGAGGTTTCCCCGAGGCTGCCCGGCGGCGGCGGCGGCGGCGGCTTCGTGCTGTATGTTGCTGCTCGCGCCAGTGCGGGCCCCGGGCCGGTCCTCCTTCTGCCTTTGGTGACACGCTTCGAGGACGCACGGGCCTGGCCAAGAATAGCTGCAGGCCAGGGCCAGGGGCCCGGGCCACCTCCCCACCCGGGGCGCTCAGCCTTGCACTTCCCCCCGCGGTAGGTTGGCATTTCTCGGTGGGGGCAGGGATCCCGGCTCGCGCGGCCAAGGGACAAGCAGGAGCGGGCACCGGGGCACATCGGGACCGGGCTTAACCACACTTGGCCACCGTACGCCGCCAGCCGGGAGAAAAGCATCAACTGAAAAGACAGTGCCACCCCCACAACACAAAGGCCCGGGGGGGGGGGGGGGGGGG